CATTATCTATATGCAAACATTTCACAGGCTGAAAAACTCCCAAATCATAAAAACTTCTGATCTCCAAGCATTTTAAATAAGGAAACCAAACCTTTATTTACCGTACACACCTGGCCTTGCACTAAATAAACCACCACAATTTCTTGAGAGAGTGAGCGAGCCAGCCAGTCTCGATAATTTAACACAGCATGATTTCAAGTCTGTACCACTCCAGTGAACACGTGTGGAATCACCCCATGCTGTTCTCCATTTTATAGATGGCACTGACCAGCCTTGCCACACTGATCCAGGACTGCAAAACCATCCCCAGCCCCAGCCCCAGCCCAGGGCTCACTCCATCACACAGCAGCAACACACAGTGGGGAAACAAGTGCCATAGGTGCTCCCTCCATGGGGGTCGAACCTGCACCTCGTGGACACGGTCACAGCCTGCGCCGCCAGGCCGAGTGCGAAGGCGCAGAACACCCCCAGCCTCCACATGCGATGCACACCTCGCGCTCCCCTCAGTGGAGCTTGCCTCGTGCCTCTCGCCTTCCCTCCTCCCGCCCCTCCGTTCTCGGCTTCCCATTGGCTGCCAGCTTCCTCCTTCCGCCCTAAGTCCAGCAGGCCCTTGCCAGGGGAGAAGTCCCACCTCTATGGGGAGGCCTCTTGGCTCCTGATTGGCCCAGCTTGCAGTCAGTCAGGGTGGAAAAGGCCAGAGTTGAGGGCGGGGACTGGCAGTAGCTTCCGGTCCCGTGGTTCGGGCAGGGTGGTGGCCCGGTGGCTAGCTACGCAGGAGCTGGGGCTTCTAGCCATGGACAGTCAGGTGAGGAGCGGCCGCGCTGCCCCAGCACTGCCCACCTGTCCAGCGGGTCCTTCAGTCCCAGTCTCCACGCTGTCGCTCCGCCCCCCACCCGCCCGGCTTCGTGCTTGCCCCCAGCTTCCCAGGCTTTTCTGCGGGGGCGCGGGCGTGACCCCAGGCTGCCCAGAATGTCGCTGGGTAAGGGAAAGTGTCTCAGCCATTGACAAGATGGTCCCCCAGCTTAGCTAAACCCCTGGGAGCCCCGCAGCCTGGCACCTTCCTAGGGAGAGCCCGATCGGTTTGCTTCAGTTCCTGGGAGAGTTGAGGAAGGAGCTGGGCCGCGCTTGTCAGTCATCATGATTGATAGGGCTCTGCCTTTATTATTATTATTATTATTATTATTATTATTATTTGACAGGCAGAGTGGACAGTGAGAGAGAGAGAAAGGTCTTCCTTTGCCGTTGGTTCACCCTCCAATGGCCGCTGTGGCCGGCGCACCGCGCTGATCCCAAGCCAGGAGCCAGGTGCTTCTCCTGGTCTCCCATGCATGTGCAGGGCCCAAGCACTTGGGCCATCCTCCACTGCACTCCCTGGCCACAGCAGAGAGCTGGCCTGGAAGAGGGGCAACCGGGACAGAATCCGGCGCCCCGACCAGGACTAGAACCCGGTGTGCCGGCGCCGCAAGGTGGAGGATTAGCCTAGTGAGCCGCGGCGCCAGCTGAGGGCTCTGCTTCTTGTCCGTCTCCGGTGAGTGCTGAATGAGGACCTCTTCCTTTGAGACAGTGGCACCGGATCCATGTTATTTCATAGACAACGCCAGCAGCCATCAGGGAAGACTCGGGGTGCGGGGCCAGGGAACCTCATATCTGGCCACGTGGAGGCTGCAGCTGGGTGCCCTCCCAGCGTCCAGGGAGGCTGGAGTGAGAGGCCAGGGTGTGTGAGCGCGCAGGACGGATTCTGTCCGTCAGGGATGATGTGGGGGTTGCTGGGGGTGGGTATTTCTCGAGGACGCTCCGTATACAGCGCTCCTGTAGGAGATGCTGTGGTCGTGGTCGCCTTGAGTTCTGCGAGCTCTCCCAGGCGCGGAGCCCCCTTGTCTCTGCGGGGAGCCAGGTGTTTCCACTGGAAGGTTCCTTACTTATGTGCCTGGGATTTGCGGGCACCCTGATCTCCCATGCTGCCCCCCCACCCCACCCCGTAGTGCTATCCCCAACACAGTCGCCATCCCGGATGCCTGGATCCTGGCCTTATCTGGTTCTCTCCCACCTGTGGGTCTGGCCAGCTGCCCCGCATCAGTCTCTGTTGAGGTCTCCTTGCAGCGGCTTGATCTGCTCCTCCCTTTGCTGCTGTTGCTGGGTGTTTCTGTCCTCGTCTCCTGTAAGCCCTGACCCTGCTCAGGTGGCCTGATGACTTCCCTCCCCCACAGTGCCCGCGTGGCCGAGGCCGCTTGGGGTTGGTTCCCATGCCTCTGTGACTGTTCTGCGTGCGGCTTCCCAATGCCAGCCCCTGTGACCACATAGATACACGCGGTGAGCTGGTGAGGAGGGACGTCCAAAGGTGTAGGCAGGAGCTCTGGGTCCTGGGGCCGGGGAGGGTGGTGGAGCCCAGTACTGGGTGGTTTGACTGGGAAGGTGCTGTCCCTTGCGACTGCCTGGTAATGCTTGTCTGCGGCTGGAAGGCAGGGCACAGGTGGCTGCATGTTACTCTGGAACTCTTGTGTTTGACACCGGCTGTCAGGTCTGTGTCTAAGTTTGGGAGGTTTTCACCAAGCAGCGTGGATGCTTACAGGAGGCTCCCTGCCAGGGGTGTCGGCCAAGCTGGGTATTGAGGGCTGGGAAGGCTCCTGGCTGTGTGCTCAGTGGAGTGGAACCTGCCCAAGTGGCCTCCTGTCTCAGGCCCAAGTGCTGGATGCTGCATGAGGAGGCTGTGGTCCCTTGGGAACCTGTCAGCAGGGGCTGCATGCTGCCTCTGCGTTCTCCCTGGAGTCACGCCGGTGGGGCTTTGTGGATGCCTTAGAGGGCCGAGAGCGGCCTCTGTTCTGCAGAGGATGCGTGCAGCGGAAAGTGCTGGGGTTGAGGTGCCCGGGCAGGGTGGCCAGGGAGGCAGAGTGGTCTGCTGAGTGACACTCAGTTCCAAGGACCTGGGCTGAACCTGGCGCCTCTCCTGACCTGCGCTGGCCCTTGCCCGTGCTGCTTCGCAGCTCAGTCTCACAGCCTTGATTTCCTCATATGCAAAGTGAGGGGATGGCACAGTTCCACCCTGTGAGGCCTTATAGGGACCCCAGCTGCAGGCCAGGAGGAGGCATGAGAGTGGCACAGATGGGCGGCATGCAGCCCAGTGGTTCTGTAATGAAAAATGCCAAGAACACAGAGTGTGGTACAGATGATGGGGGTGCTTTAACCTTGAGTGGTCAGGGAAGGCTTCCCTGCGGGGGTGACAGTTGCACTGAGGGTCTGTGATGAGCGGGGCCGGTGTGGGAATCTATAGGAACTGCAGAGGCAGGAATGAGGCCTCCATGGAGGCTGTGCGAGTAGAACAGAGGATGAGGGATGAACAGGAGGAAGCTAATTTTCTTTATTCTTCTATTGATGGACATCTGGGTTGATTCCACATCTTAGTTATTGTGAATTAAGCTGCAATAAACTTGGGGTTCAGATAACTCTTTCATATGCTTATTTCATTTCCCATGGGTATATTTCCAGGAGTGGGATGGCTGGGTCATATGGTAGGTCTATATTCAGATTTCTGAGGTATCTCCATATTGTCTTCCACAGTGGCTGCACCAATTTATATTCCAACCAACAGTGGACCAGGGTACCTTTTTCCCCAAATCACCCACAACATTTGTTTGTTGATTTCTGTATGAGAGCATTCTAATTGGGGTAAGATGATTTTCATTTGAATTTCCCTTATTGCTAGTGATCCTGAGCATGTTTTCATATGTCTGTTGGCCATTTGAATTTCTTCTTTTGAAAAATGCTTGTCACCGGCACTGCAACTCAATAGACTAATCCTCCTCCTGCAGTGCCGGCACACCAGGTTCTAGTCCCAGTTGGAGCATAGGATTCTGTCCTGGTTGCTCCTCTTCCAGTCCACCTCTCTGCTGTGGCCAGGGAGTTCAGTGGAGGATGGCCCAAGTGCTTGGGCCCTGCACCCACATGGGAGACCAGGAGAAGCACCTGGCTCCTGGCTTCGGAGCAGCGTGGTACACTGGCCACAGCGGCCACTGGGGGTGGTGGTGAACCAACGGAAAAGGAAGACCTTTCTCTCTGTCTCTCTCTCTCACTGTCCACTCTGCCTGTCAAAAAAAAAAAATTTTTTTGCCTGTTTAAGTTCTTTGCCCCATTTCTTTGTTTGGTTGTTCTTGAGTTTCTTGAGCTCTGTGTAGATTCTGGATATTAATGCTTTATCAGTTCCATAGTTTGCTAACATTTTCTCCCATTCTGTTGATTGCCTTTTCACTTTGCTGAATGTTTGTTTTGCAGTGTAAAAGCTTCTCTGCTTGATGTAATCCCAGTTGTCTATTTTGGCTTTGATTGCTTGTACTTCTAGGGCCTTTCCCAAGAATTTTTTTGCCTGTGCCAATGTTTACAGAATTTCCCTAATTTCTCTAGTAGTTTGATGGTATTTGCTTGTAGATTTATGTCTTTGATCCTTTATAAGTTGATTTTTGTGTAAAGTATATGGAAGGGTGTCTCATTTCATATTCTCACTGAGATCCAATTTCCACAGCACTGTTTGTTGAAGTGACTATTCTTGCTCCAGGGATTGATTTTAGCTCCTTTATCAATGATTAATTGGTTGTAGATTTGTGAATTGATTTCTGGAGTTTCTATTCTGTTCTGTTGGTCTACATGTCTATTTTTCACCAGTACCAGGCTGTTTTGATTATAATTAACCAATCTTCTAATTTCATTTGTCTGTTAACTTTTTTTTTTGGAAAGTATAGGGCAAGAGGGCGTGTAGTGCTATCTGCTATTTCATCCCCCAAATGCCCACAATCAATTCTCCATTTTTGTTTCCTTTGGTCTCTTTAATTTGCTTTATATAAATGTCTTTAAATTTTAGAAGTTTACAAAGCATTTTATTTTATTATTCATGAAGATATATTATGTTTTTTTGAAACTAAAAAATGTTTAAATAAATATAGAGGGAACAGATTTCATATATATATATTTTTTTTGGACAGGCAGAGTGGACAGAGAGAGAGAGAGAAAGTCTTCCTTTGCTGTTTGGCTCATCCCCCAGTGGCCGCTGTGGCCAGCACACCGCGCTGATCCAAAGCCAGGAGCCAGGTGCCTCTCCTGGTCTCCCATGTGGGTTCAGGGCCCAAGGACCTGGGCCGTCTTCTACTGCCTTCCCGGGCCACAGCAGAGAGGTGGACTGGAAGAGGAGCAACCAGGACAGAATCCTAAGCCCTGACTGGGACTAGATCCCGGGGTGCCAGCACCGCAGGCAGAGGATTAGCCTAGTGAGCCGTGGCGCCGGCCCATATATTTCTTATATGCAGTTTTTATGGGCATAATGGTGTATCACATCCTACCCTTGCTGCCCTCCTCACTCCCACCCTCAAAGCTTCTTTTCTTATTTTTAATTTTTACCATGACATACTTTCAATTTCGTTTATAATCACAAGCTTAACCCTCCATTAAATACTGAATTCAATAAGTAGTAGGTAGAAAAACCACTATTCTTCAAGAATATAGATAAGGGCTATAAATAATAATCAACTATCAAAATGTCATGTTCATTCATATACATTGTATATTTTTGTGCTCTGTATGTTAATTACCACTAATCAGGGAAAACATATTTTTGGGGGACTGGCTTATTTTTTTTATTCAAAGTAACATTCTGTTTTTGAAATTTGTCTCACAAAAAGATAAGAAAAGGTTAATTGTGATGAATCCCCATACCACAAAATATGCAACCATTAATATTTGGGTATTTCTATATGTATGTTTAATTTTAAGAGTGTTTGGGGGCTGGTGCTGTGGCTCACTTGGTTAATCCTCTGCCTGCAGTGCCAGCATCCCATATGGGTGCCGGTTCCAGTCCCGGTTGCTCCTCTTTTAGTTCAGCTCTCTGCAGTGGCCCCAGAAAATCAGTGGAGGATGGCCCGGGTGCTTGGGCCGCTGTACCTGCATGGGAGACCTGGAGGAGGCTTCTGGCTATAAGAGAGTATGTAGTGTATTATAATACATATGCCTACCCCTATTTCTTGGAAACACCAAATATTAACATTTAAAATGTATTTGCTTTCAGTGTTTTTCTTATTTATGCGTTTATGTAAAAATTACATTGATGGCATTGTATGTATATAGTTGTATATGTCATTTATCCTTATTTTTGAAGTACTACAACTATAAAACAGAGATAAAGCCAACATCAACTTTGACCTAGAACTCTACTTACATTCATAATTATATCTACTTTGATGCTATTAATTATATTAACTTGACATTCATAAAATCCTCAGTATTCTTCAAGGAACACATACCACAGTGAGGTGTTTACTGTGGTTGGTTCCTTGTGGAATTCACACTTTATCTCATGGACATCTTCTGGTGTTTAAATCAAATCAAAGGAAGAAAAATGTTTCTTCTCCAGGGAAACGAACCCAGCTCCCCTTGCTGATTTTCCTAGAAAGAAAATGATCTAAAACTTTTCCTTCTACTCTCTTTTTGTTAAGCCAACAGAGCCTAACTGTTTCAAGATTGGGAAGATAATAGAACAATTTATTTAACAAGGACCTCTGAGATTTCAACCCTTGAGTTGACAGAACTTTTAAACATGCCCCTGTTGTTTCTCACCTGTAATTAATGGCTCCCCGCTTGCTGAAAGCCCAGCTGCACTTCACAGGGACACTCTGGGAGATGAGAAAGCTTTAGTGGTCACCATTGGAGAGTCTTGTTTTCCAGTGAGGGCTACTGGGGTAAGAAACGAGAGTGAGTGGAGTGTAGGCTTTATGTCTAGAATAACAGGACTAGCACAGGCCTATTATGGATGTATTTTAGTTTCTACTGAAATCAGCCCTTCTAGTTATTATGGTCTTTCCTTTCCTAGAACTTGTGTCCACTAAGAGTTACAAATGATCATTCCCTGAATGTGATGTTTTCTGGAGAGTCTCCACAGCTTCTTTGCTTCCCCCTATAAATTGTGGGCTCCTCTTCATTTAACCACTCACTGAGCATGTCTTGTGCATGAGTATTATCTCTGATGTTGTTAACGTGATCGGCATTTTCTTTGATGATTTACCTGTTTTTCCCCACAGATCTCATTTACAGATATCACTGAATACTTCTATATTGTTGTTGCTGTTAATTACTGTTGCACATATATTACCATGAAGGCGGTGTGGGAACTACCAAGCAAAGAACATGAAATGTTTTCAAATGTTTTGTGAAATAACCTTAAAGAAAATAGTCATTTATGAGCATAAATTCAAGTTGGAGAAGTAGAACTAGTAAGCAGGTGATAAAGGAGAGAGAGGATTGGCACATAAAAGAAGTTGAGGTAATTATGCACATCGACGGGGGCCAGTGCAGTGGCATACTAGGTTATGTTTCCGGCTTCATTGCTGGCATCCCAGCTGTTCCTCTTCTGATCCAGCTGTCTGCTTGTGGCCTGGAAGGCAGTGGAAGATGGCCCAAGTGCTTTAGCCCCTGCAACTGTGTGGGAAAGCCAGTAGAAATTCCTGGCTCCAGGCCGGTGCTGCGGCTCAGTAGGCTAATCCTCCACCTGTGGTGCCGGCACTCCTGGTTCTAGTCCCAGTCAGGGCGCCAGATTCTGTCCCGGTTGCCCCTCTTCCAGTCCACCTCTCTGCTGTGGCCCGGGAGTGCAGTGGAGGATGACCCAAGTCCTTAGGCCCTGCACCCGCATGGGAGACCAGGAGAAGCACCTGGCTCCTGGCTTTGGATCAGCGTGGTGTGCCGGCCACAGCACACACTGTCCACTCTGCCTGTCAAAAAAAAAAAAAAATTCCTGGCTTCGCGACTCAGATCGGCTCATCTTCCAGCGAGTGTGGCCATCTGGGGAGTGAACCAGTGGATGGAAGACCCCTCTCTCTGTCTCTCACTCTCGCTTTCTGTAACTCTACTTCTCAAATAAATAACAAGTGTTTTATAAAAAATTGTGCACTTTTATAGGGGAAATGAGCTAACAATTGATAGGAATCATGTCACAACTCAATAGAGAATGACAGACATCTACCCTAGGGTAGTGTAGTGATGAGGTTCCAAGTGGCTGTTGATTGAATACTAATGTTGCCTCCTTCCCCAAAGGTACACAGCTCCATGGAAGTAGAAAACCACACAGGAGAATCACAGTTCCTCCTCCTGGGCCTCTCAGATGATCCTGAGCTGCAGCCACTGATCTTTGGGTTGTTCCTGTCCATGTACACGGTCACAGTGCTTGGGAACATGCTCATCATGTCAGCCACCATCTCTGCCTCCCACCTCCACACCCCCATGTACTTCTTCCTCTGCAACCTGTCCTTTGTTGACATCTGTTTTGTCTCCACCACAGTCCCAAAGATGCTGGTGAACATCCAGGCACACAGCAAGGACATCACCTACATAGAATGTCTCATCCAGGTGTATTTTTTTATCATATTTATTGCGATGGATAATTTCCTACTGACCATCATGGCCTATGACCGGTTTGTGGCCATCTGCCACCCTCTACAGTACACAGTAGTCATGAACCCCCGCCTCTGTGTCTTCCTGGTTCTGATGTCGTGGTGCTTCCTTTCCTGGGTCTCCCTGCTTCACCTTCTGCTGCTGATGAGGCTGACTTTCTCTACTGGCACTGAGATCCCCCACTTCTTCTGTGAACTGGCTCAGCTTCTCAAGGTGGCCAGCTCTGATACCTTCATCAATGACATCACCTTGTATGTGGCAACTGCCCTGCTGGGCTTGTTTCCTGCCGCCGGGATCCTCTTCTCTTACTCTCAGATTTTCTCCTCCTTAATGAGGATGTCCTCTGCTGTGAGCAAGTACAGAGCATTTTCTACCTGTAGTTCTCACCTCTCTGTAGTCTCCTTGTTCTATGGAACAGGACTTGGGGTGTACTTCAGTCCTGCCATGCCACAGTCTTATATGAGAAGTTCAACTGCTTCGGTGATGTACACTGTGGTCACCCCGATGCTGAACCCCTTCATCTACAGCCTGAGGAACAAGGATGTGAAGGGGGCCCTGGGCCAGCTCCTCAGCAGAGCAGTCCCTTGTGTTTGGTGAATCACTGACCTAAGGACTCAGTGTGTTGTAGCCGCTACAGAAAATGCTGTGAATTTCAATATGCTGGCTCTTTTTCTCCCCTCAAGTATATACTAAATTTATTTCTGTTCCCAAAGCATATCTGTATTGATTGTGTATGTGTTTACATTTTCCTCTTCTCAACAACTCCCTCCGTACATCTGTCTCATTTTTTTTTTCCTTATACATGATGCTTTTAAGTTCCATGTTTGGTTGTTCATCTTCCAGAAATTTCTGGTTATTTCTAACTATCCTTTACAGCACTTGTTTCACAAGTGCTCACATGATTTCTTCCCAACTTATGCTGTTAGTATGTTTTTGATTTGAATTTCCCTCATGGCTAGTGATGTTGAGCATTGTTGGCCACTGGTATTTCTTCTTTTGAGAAGTGTCTATTCAGATTCTTTGGCCATTTCCTAATGGATCTGCAATTAGAAGCAATATATCTAGTATTCCACCACACACTAGGGTGACTGTATTTCACAGTCATGTGTTACATGCCTTATAAAGAACTGGAAGGGAGAAGCTGATTGACTCCTAACACAATGAATAGATAAGGAAATTGAAGCAATAGTGAGCTGCTTCTATCAATTTGTGCTGTATATAGTTAATGAGTACTCAGTGCTCCATAAAACAGTGTAGACATTGGAGTGGGTATTGTGGAGTGACAGGTTAAGCTGCTGCTTGGGGCAGCCATATTCCATACTGAAGTGTCATTCAAGTCCCAAATCCTCTGCTTCTGATCCAGCTTCCTGATGATGCATTGGGAAGGTAGCAGGTGATGGTTCAAATGCATGGATCCCTGCCATACATGTGGGAGACCAAGATGGATGTGTAGGATCTGGCTTTGGCCTGGCCCCTCCTGCCTGTTGTAGGTATTTGGAAATTGAATAGTGGATGGCAGATTCCTGTCTCTTTGTATCTCCCTTTCTGTGTCATTTTGCCTTTCCAATAAAGAAATAAATAAATCTTTAAAACTTTGTGTTGCATGCTAATATGTGTTGCATGTTTTAAGGAAAAAAATCATTCTCTTGATTTTAAATTTTATCTTGGCAAAAAGTTAATATTTGAGGTAATGGTTGTGTGAATTTCTCTGATTACATAATTTTGCAATATATACATATATTAAAACATCACATTGTACTTCATTAATATATAATCATTTTTCATCTAAAAAGATACTTTCAAACATTTCTCTTAAATGCTAATTTTTATAACATTAGTTTGATTGTGCTCTTATTTTCCCTGAAATAATGAAATGAAAATAATCTGATAGTCAATGATGAGTTTTTTTTTTTATTTGACAGATAGAGAGAGAGAGAGAGAGACAAAGGTCTTCCTTCCGTTGGTTCACTCCCCAAATGGCCGCCACGGCCAGCACTGGGCCGGTCTGGAGCCAGGATCCAGGTGCTTCTTCCTGCTCTTTCATGTGGGTGCAGGGGCCCAAGCACCTGGGCCATCCTCCACTGCCTTCCCAGGCTACAGCAGAGAGCTGGACTGGAAGAGGAACAACCAGGACTAGAACCCAGCACCCATATGGGATGGCTGTGCTGCAGGCTGAGGATTAACCAAGTAAGCCATGTCGCCGGCCCCACAGATGAGTTTTTACCATATCAGGGCTGTGCTTTTGGTGTATGTCCTCTTGTGTGAGTCTATTGGGATATTGTCTCTCACCCACCCTATTTATTGGAGGAGAAAGCTGAGATAGAGATGGACAACAAACAGCAGTCTGGCACTAGGAATGGCCGTACTCCTAACTGTGCTTCCTACTTTCTCTAGCACAGTCACAGTGCTGTTCAACACAAAAGCCAGCATCTAACTGCAGAAACTGTTCTCAGATGATCAGTGGTGCCGTACTGCCTATGCTAACTCTGAATTGTTGCTTCACCCTTTGTGGTCCTTAATTTTTTCCTTTCTCACTCTCCTTCCTTGTTTATACCCTTTCCTACGTCTTTTCGGCTGTTGTATTCGTTAATGCTAACCCACTTTGGTCATCTCCTTGACTGAATACTATTCCACTGGATTATATACATGTTGTATATCCCTTCATCCTTTGATTGACATTTGGGTTATTTCCATCTTTTGACTTTAGTGAGTAGTGCTTCAGTGGACACGCATGCACATTTCAGGATTGCTTTTTGATTATTTTTGGCAAATATCAAGGAGTTTGACTTTTGGGCTGAGACATCGTAAAACTGTTTTTCCTGATAACTTGCACATTTTACATTCTCAGGAATATATCAGGGTTCTAATATCATGGTATCCTTCCCAATACCTTTTATTTTTCTCTTTTGTAGGAAAATGATAGCCTCCTATGGAGTGTGAAATGTTAACTCATTGTGCTTTTGATTTGAATTCCCTAGTGGCTGTGCATCTTTTTCTGTGCTTGTTGGCAGTGTGTCTGTCTGCTTTGGAGGAATGACTTTCCAAGTATTTGCTCATCTTTGTGTGTGTGTGTAGTATGCTTGTTTCTGACATGTAAGAGGTCTTGATATATTCTGGATATTTGACCCAATCTGAAATGTATGAGTAAGTTTTGCAAACAGTTTCTCCATTCTGTGTGACATCTTTCTGTCTTTCAAGTATACCATGCATTGTAATTGACTACACTCATCAAGGCATATGATAGATATCTTGGATGTATTCCTCCTACCTAGTATGCATTTTGTGTCCTTTTACCAACCCACAGACTCATGTCATCATTTATTTCCAGTGATTTTAACTTTTTGAGTTCCACATATAGGTAAGTTCATGCAGTATCTGTCTTCCTATGCCTGGCCCATTTCCTCCTCTCCTCTCTCCTCTCTTCTCTCTCCTCTCCTCTCCTCTCCTCTCCTCTCCTCTCCTCTCCTCTCCTCCCCTCCCCCTCCCCGTCCCCTCCAGAAAAAGGAGCGGTTTATATTTTTATTATTTATATATATATATATTTTTGTATGTTTAAGAAAGGGAAGACAGTAACTAGACGAGAAGCGAAGAGGGATTCAAGGCGAACCTGCTCGACAATCCAGAGCGGGCGATGGGAGTGGGGGGGGGTGGGGAGAGTCAAGTGCTACCTGCCCTGGGTCCAGCTATAGAAGTGGTG